AACTGGCTGACGTGGATGAACTTGATTTGAGCAGAAACATGTTAAAGAAGATTCCAAGCAGCATCCAGAAGTTCCAGAAACTGCGCTGGCTGGACCTGCATAGTAATCAGCTCGAGGAGCTGCCTGAGGCAATAGGTACGCTTCAGAACCTTTTTTACCTGAATATATGCAATAACAAGCTGACCACCAAAAATCTGCCAGAGGAGTTGAACCTTCTCAAGAACCTGCATATTCTCAACCTTGGCTTGAATTGTCTTGACAGTATTCCCACCAGTCTTGGTGCCCTGAAGGAACTTAAGGAGATAGGTCTTTTTGACAATGCTTTGACCACCATTCCGAACAGTGTGAAAAAGCTCCCCAAGCTCAAGAAACTGAATGCAAAAAGAAACCCTTTCCCAGATTCAACAAAGCAAGAAGAGCATGCCGACTCCATCAAACGCATAGAAACACTGTTCTTAGTACAAGAGAAAGACCTGTGCTGTTCCTGCTTGAAGACGTGTCAGGATGACAGAGACAAGCTGAACAAGTTAAAGAATGAACAACCCAGCCCCTCAAAGAAGATAAGTTTCCCTTTACTCCTTACACCCAATTCCTCTGCAAAGGATAACCAAGAAGAATGGAGATTAAGAGGCAAACATCCCTGAAATCTACCAAGGCACTCCACAGACCATGTCCCATGAAGTCCAGCCCAAGCTAATGACCTCCCTCCTCCTCTCTTTTCCTGCAGTTCTCCTCCTTTAAAGATCTACTCAGTTTTAGAAGCAGATCTGTGTGGTCTCTAAAACAGACGTATATTTGGGAACGGGTGCATTTCAGAAACAAAGGACTGTTTCCTAGCATCTGAACCTGTTCCTACAACATGCTCTCCATGTTCAGGGGTTGTTTGGGTTTGGGGTTTTTTTTTTGTCTTTTGTGTCCACACGTGTCCAGTGAAGGCATCTTCAAAAAGATAGGTTTTTCTAGCAAGTCCACTCCCACCACTGAGCCCCAAACATTAGTCCTGTTCATTTTCATAGGGTGAGACACAGTTAAACTAGTCTCAGTAAATACCATTTGGAGGAAAAGGAAGAGACCTGGGAACCTTCTGTTGCTGATGGCTGCCACCAACCCCTCAGAGAATCTCAGCAGTGTCAGTGTAGGAACCATGAGCCTGTTCCAATTCATCAGAGGCAGCAGACACAAATGTTACGCTCAGGAGTAACTAAGCAGTGCAAACACAATGCTTAGAGCTAAACAACCAGTGATCCTGTTTGCCATCAAGGGGTCAGACTCTGCATAAGAAAGTTCTCTGGCATTTTGGGTGCTACACCTGGGTGCAGTGATCTTTAACTTGCACAACACAATCGGCACCATTATTTATACTTGCCTCTGAGTCTCCCTCCAAGGAAGGTACAGAATGGAGAAGGGGTAGGGAAAGACTGCTCTTTTTAAGGGTCCTGGGCGTATCACTTAAGCAATGACTAAGAGAAGAAGAGTCACCCTCTTCCATGATCCAAGAGTCAGCTGGTGAATTGATGAAATCAGGTCTGGTGTCCCCAATTACTTTTAGCTTTCTGTTCACATATGCGCATGCACATGTGCACCTGAGCACAGACATTCACTTGCTCAAATCACACCCCTAGGGCAGAGCGCCCTGACAGCCTGCAAACAGCATTATGCAGGTACAAGCAATGAGCAGATTATAAAAGCAGTCAAGCATGATATGAGAAGAGGTGCTGGCTGTGGCCGTAGTAACATATGGTGACGGAAAACATTTAAGTATATTTAAATGAAGACTAAAGTGCCAGGGGCAAAGTACTCAGTTGTCCAGTAACAGTCCCTTACCATTTTTTAAATAGCTACAGTAGAGCCTGGGAGTCAGAACTCCTGTGTATTATTGCTATGGACCAGATGGAAAAACTGATATGGGGTTTCCCAGAAATGCTACTACCTCAAAGTCATATGATACTAGCAATTTCTTCTTTTGATGCTTCAGCTGTGCAATTATTAATAGTGTGGCTGGGCAAACAGCTTAGTCTAGCCTGCCTCCCTATCTCAGGTAGGGCTGGAAAAGCTGGGATGCTATGGAAGATGGCCATTGCCCCCTAGATGGGGAAGAAGCCTCTTGTATTGCTCCTGAATTTTCCTAACTCAGAAGGAGCTCCAGAATTCAAATGAGGGAAAAGTAAACTCATGAAGTCCTCAGTCCTGCAGTTCCCAGACTGGAGCTTGGTAAAAGGGAAGTATGCCCATTGGAGTAATTTTCTCTGACTTTCCACTTAAGCACAGATTTTCTGGGATCATTACTTAGGCAGTGGCACTATTTTATATTTATTTTATTTCAGCTCGTGCTGTAACATGGCCCAGACAAAGCTATACCGAAGGCCCCTTACATTCTCAGAGTGAATGAGGTTCACAGGGTCCTCTCTCAGCCAGTGGAGTAAAACTGAAGGCAGAGCCTTACAGGATTCAGGACAGGCTAGTTTAGACCTAGACATACAGCCTGCTTCAATCTCTGAGACCGAACATGAGTGAAGTGTTTCTCACAATAATCACAAGCCCATCTAAAGCCCAAAGTTCCTGCAGCCATAGTGCACCTTATCTCAAGACACTCCCACCTGTTGAGCACCCAGCAAGCACAGGGAAAGGAAACCCTGGGGTGAGTTATTGATTACTCTACACAGAACACACATCATGCTCCATAAAATCAACAGTCACCTCTGGCATAGGTTAGGCTCTAACCAGAGATGGTCACATACTCCACTGATACTTTCTGCAAGCTGATGACTGGTACTCAGGGGTAAAAATGTTCACTTACAAGATAGGTAATGACCTACAACAGGTGGAGTGAAAATTAAAAAGAAGAGTACAGCTGACAACAGGCCACAACAACTCATAGGGGTAATCTGCCCCTCAGGTCTCAACAGTATTCCAACCTGCAGGTGATTATTTCAGAAGACATCAACTAGGCACTTAGGGTTGTGTTCCTCAGATATCCAAACTGAGAAGCATTACAGGTATGCAAATAACTCAAGGTCAGCATGGAACATGCTCTCAATCACCTCCCACTAGGAGAAAATTTTTATTTCCTGCAGTGGTAAATCTGAGTGACAAGTTGGAATCTCCACTGCACAGTTACTACAACATTCCAAAACATCCATGTGTACATTGATCGACATCTACCTTAACCATACAATACGGAGGCAATTACACAGAAGCATTATGCGTTAGCTCTAACCTCACCTCACTGATTGTCTCTTTCCCACACTAACCATGTGTGTAGAGTTTACCAATAAAGTCATATGAAGGAGTTAATAATTATTAATCAACTACGCATAGTCAGCTACTCAACAAGGTCTTCATGTCTTCATACTGTGTATGCTGTACACTAGAATGTTTTTTGGAGTTCTGGGGATACCTTTGAATCTTTAAAAAATGGGGCACAAATAGGTAAGTTTCTAGATGTTTTTAAGGTACAACACAATCCACACAATTGCACTTCTTATCTACAGTTATCCAATATTTCCTGTGTTTTACCTTATATTCAGGGACTCTTCTGTTATCCCCTTTGACTTCAAACCAGGTTGGAAAGAGCAAAATCTGTAGGAGATAGGAATTATTTAAATGGTTATCTGTATACATTACATATGCATATAAACTATATTGTGTCCTGACAGCAACTTTCTTCCCGAAGGATGCCACAGCATTTCACTGAGACTCTAACCTAGGACAAAGCTGCAAGACAGCACAGCAAAAACATACATTTAATATTAAGGAGTTGCCTATGGGCTGGAGAAAAGCAATTTCTTTCCCAAACAGGGCCTTGAATCAATACATAGAGCTATGGACTTATGATCAGGCGGTTTAAGGTGCTATTAATTAAAGCCAGAGAATGACAACCCACTCAGGCATTTATCTATCAAAAATGGCAGAAAGGAATGCCAACCCATGTCTCAGCCATTCCTATATACTTTCACTGGGGTTTATGATGTCAGACGTACTTGAACTACAGAGGTTTTGTAACCTTCAGCTGAGGGGCAATACAGGCAGCTGAGGATAAAAATCTTATCTTGAACTGCCTCAGCAAGATTCCCCCAAGACATGTTTGTCAGAGCTGAGAGACAGCAAAACTAAGGACTAAACAAAGCAGCTGTCTCAGGGGCAAAACCTGATGATTCTAAGTAGCCACACTATGCAGCCAGTTTACAAAGGAAGATAAATCTGCCTTGACTTTTAAAGCAATACTCAATTAGAAACTGTTCAGAGATTTTGGGAGCAGTAGGAACTGCTATGATTGTTTAGAAATTAACACCACAAACCTTCAGTTGAAGATGCAGAATTTACCACAGGAAGAACTACATAGTGAAGTATTTTTGCTGCATAAAGGACAGTGAAAGTAAACCTGATATAAGGGCCAGAAATGCAGTAGGAAAAACAGTGCAAGAAAACGAAGTGCAATTTAATCACTTCATATTGTTACATTCAAGTTCCATCAAACAAGACAAGCACATAAGGAAAAATCTTTTTAATACAAAAATTCCATTGTTAAAAGTTAACTCCACACCAAAGATACGAAGTCAGAGTGACAAAAATATTTTATTCCTAAAGAATCTAATGACATTTTGTGTGTTGGAAGAAAGCAGGAAGAAACCTTCTTTCACCCAGTACTGTGAGGTGAGATGGAGGTGGCTCTTATCTCTAGTGAGAGGAAACAGCATAGCTGCAGTTGCAGTTTCCTGGGATGCACGGACATACAACAAACCACTGGGTGCTAGAAGAGTCCTACATATGCATTAGCTCCCTTGATAAATCAACAGCTGTGTAATGCTCCAAAGAATTCAAAAGTCAGCAAAAGGAAAAATTCATAATTTTGCTTAAGTGTAACCCGTTAAACACCAAGGAGATGCAATTGAAGAAAAAGCTGCTGGAGCAGTGCAAGACAGACATCTGAAGCCAGGATAAATAGGAGCAATAGACCAGGAGTGTCACCTGGGTGTTCACATGTTATTATGAAGTAATGATTACCTTTTAAATATCTTATTTCGGTCGCTATCATGGAAGACAAGAAATGTGGAGTAACCATTTTTGAAGAATATTTCCAAGGCGATCTCCTGGAAAGGTAAATCATTTACAGTGTGAAGAGCTGCAGAGCAAAGCCTAGTGCTGCAAAGAGTCCATCAAGGCCTGTCCAATTCTTCAGGGCTTTAAAAGAAAAGGCCCTGACTTTGTATTAAGCGTGAAGAAGTGTAGCAAAAATATGCCTAATATTCCCAATTTCTTCGGCTGTAGGAACGGTCCAACTGGGTTGACTAGAAGTTCAATTGATTCTCTAAAGCAAAACAAAACTCCAGATACTGGTTCCATCACCTGCTTCCTCCTGCTGCTTCTAAAGCAATTTTTATCTTGAAATCTCAGTATGATTAACACAACAATAGTAGCATTAACTTCTAATTAGGTGAGAAAGATAACATGAATAAGGGTATACATGATAACATGAATATGCTTAATAAGCGTTTCTTTTAAAAAGCAACCATACTGCTTTCTAAACGAATAGTGATCTCAACAGAAATGCTAAAATAATTTCTCCTGCCTAGAAGCAGCAGAGGAGGAAGGAGGGTTTATGACATTTCTCACTGAAGCTTTAAATAATAACATTTGAAAACTTCACACCTATTTTTCTGCAATGTCTTCACACATTGTTATGTTGGGCATTTGCATATAATCCTATTACTTACTCAGTGAGTGGTCTTTTTTTCCCCAAAGTCAGTCAAGTAAAACTATAAATAACGTGTAGTGTCTGGGAACCCAGACGTGAGTTTCAATCCAAATGTGGCAGGTGCAATACAAACCTAGAAAAACACTGCAATGGCAACTGCTGCATACACGATTCACAAATGAACTATAAAGCAGAAAGGTAATATGAGAGCAGCTATGACAATAAACAGCTTGCAGCATTTGCTCTGAAGCTCAGCTTTCCAAACCAAGTCTGCTTAAGTGTCACCATTATAGAATTGGTCCTTGAGGTTTCACAGTGCTTTGCTCTGAGCTGGGATATGTGCATGAAAAGGAGATCAGCTCTGAGGCACAGTAGCTGCCTAAACAGCTGATCTACCTGTCCCACAGGGAATGCACAAGTGATCAGTTTTCTTCTTTTTCTGCAATATTTTTTCAAAGCAGTTTGTGGCATAGAGTGCAAGTGCAAGAATTTGAGAGCCTGATACAGATACCCGAGTTTTCAGTTCATTGATTGAAACAAAACAAAAATAAACAAACAACCCCACAACCAAAAAAACACAAAACCCCCTCAAACCAACAAGCCCCACCTTTGTCCCAGGCCCATTCAAACACTGTTCTTACTGGTGTCCATTTTTCATTTTGAGTCACACAAAACATTTCCATTTCACATGTTTAAAAAAAATCCATGCATACACAAACGTGATTATATGACAAGATGGCAAGATTCCACTAGCAACTTTGATGCTCTTCAGAAAACAGAAGAGGTGACAGCTCTGCTGTTCATGTTGCTCACTAGTGATATAAGAAAATAATCTTCATACAGTTACTCAGAAGAAGACTCAACATTCCTATACATGCTTTGAGAGTGACCTAACCACTGAGATACGCTACATCTTGAAAAAGTGTCACCTACTAAAATTGTCCATTTTGCATACATAATTAAATATAAAATAAACTAGGGCTGAATCATGGGTGAGTGCCGTACTACATGACATAAGACCATTATCAGCCCCATTTTCTCCAACTTTTGAATTTTCCGAATGACTTCTTAATTTTCTGTTGAATCTCAACATTCCAAAAATGGTTTCAAAATAACAGGTAACTAGTTACAGCTGCTTCAAAACTCCATATTTTTGTCAAACGAAATCTGTGAATTACTCTCTAGACCGTACCAAAACCCCCTAGAGCAAGTACAGGCTCTGGTGCTGCAAAGAGGTCTAGCTACAATTCTTCTGTGATTCTTATCACAAGCTCATCTAAACAAGACAAAACTAAAAGGGTACCAGGCCGCTGGTGATGAGTAGCTTCTGGGTAGTGCAGCTAAAGGCATAGAGGATTCAAATCCTCTGCTCTGACTTATGTTTCATTTATCAACTCACATGCACAACTTAAAAGTTATTCCAAGCGGCCCAGGGTAAGTAGTTTGGTACTCATAACCCACTGATGTCCAAAACTACTGAAGTCTGTGGGAGCTGAGTATTACTGAACGTCAGACACTTACTGGGAGCTTCCATCAAAACACAGGAAATTGTCTTCAAGTCTTCCTTTCAAAACATTGAGATAAACTATGAAGAACATTTTTAGCCTAAAAACTAATAAGCCAACCACTCCAGTGAGGGTGCTTAAACGCTCTGGTGAATATAGGAAGGAGTTTGTATTACCAAAAGTTAATGAAGCAAAAGCATTTTGGGACTCAGGCAAAGAAATCTTAGCAGTCTTAGTAAAAATTGTGCAAGTAGTTTTCAGTCACATGTCATTACTGCTGTCGCAGCTTTTTCCTCAAATGACCAAGCATGTTAGTTCCTACCTGCAGAAGAAAGCGCATCAGATGAATCTCTTTTATATCATGATACAAATAACGGGAACACATCTGATCTCCCACAGCATGATCTTTATGACATAAGTTAAAAATAAATGGATCAGTGATGCTGGAAGAGAAAAATATAAAGAAGGAAAAAATAATTTGAAACAAAAAAGATCAGGAGAGCCCTCATGAACATCCAAGTCCCCCCTAAAGAAGAATAAAAATACTAAGAGATAGCAAGATCAACTGGGGCATATATGAATTGAAAACAAAGCTAAATACTTAAGGCAGATTTTGTACTAGTTTCTAAAATAAAATAAGGAGCCTGTGGAGTCTAAGTGTAGGTTTGTAATTATTTTAGTGCATGCAAATAGGCAAACAGCAATATCTTGCGCACACTGAGAAGCAGCAAGGGAAGGAGCTGCGTGGGAGAACCTGAAAGCCTGGGTAAAGGGCAAGCATCATATGGACACACAGCTATTATAAACAGAAATTTTTGGAACTAATAATTAAGCAATTAATTCATTATTACTTTAGTTGTGTACATGTACTGCAATTGCTATATACAGCCTAGCCCATAGAAAATCCCATAGAAAAACCACCTAAGCTTTTAATGGACCCAGTCCAATCGATCCTTAAGTCACCTGATCAGATTGACTAATATTGGACTTAGTAAGAATCGGATGCAGAGCAGACAGTCAGGGAGTAAAAACACGGAGTTACTCACTGTCCCACTGGGCTTTGCACATGAGCACACAGTATGTGCAAAGAGCTAACTCTAACAGACTCATTTTCAATATTGATCAGTTTCAATAAATCATGAGTCAAAGATGATAGCAGTGTGCCAAATATTAATCACAATTCTGTCTTCGAGAAACAAACAAAAAACTTATGAGATTATGAAGCTAAAGGCTCCATATGAATAAAAGATGGGAGCCAGTCAGAAAGACACATTAACAACACTTTAAAAGAATTGAAAAACAACAACGTATGTGTTAGGCTGCCCACCATTTCCATCTGTTGGAGCTGGGAGTTCTTGTTGCACCTCCAAAGCCTGTGAACAAGTTACTTATGCTAAACAAGTCCTGTGAACAGATGGAAAAGATGGCAAACTTCTTCCTGTGCTAATATCCCTCTTGAAATCCCCTCAGTTCATGCAAATTCTAGGTATCCATGTGCCAATACTGATGTTAACCAAGCAGATCTCTGGGAGGAAAGAATGACTTACCTGGACAAGCAGTGACGTGTACAGTAGACTTCTTCTAGAGGGGATAACACAAAGCACTCGCAGATGTAAAAGTGCTCTTTGCCGAACAGCAGCACTCCTTCCAATGCTGTATGTCCCTGCACAACTGCCACAGAGCACTTGAATGTGACCTAGTACAGAAGCAAGCACAATAAAGCCAGGAGTGTGTAACACAGGAGACAGGGACAGCAGGGAGCAAGGCCTAATGATGCAGAAGGACATATGGTTGTACCGAAACAGCTCCCATCTTGATTGGCAGGTCTATATGGATGCAGCCACAAAATCACCATATGACTGACAGTGCATGCCTCTGTGGTACTAGCAGTGGCAGAGTCTGATGCCCTTTCCCCCCAGTAAATCTGTTCCTTCCCCATCTATCTGTGGCTATATTTAGCCACATCACTAAAGAACATCAAAATGTTGCAAATGTTGCAGGAGTTAGCACTGCGAAACTTTGTTAGACAGCAATACTTACTAAATGGGCAGGGGTTGAAGCGCTAAGGAAAGAAATTACTTACACAGCATCATACAGAAAAACAGTGGCATATAGTAAATATATGTACATACAGAGAAAAGGCAAATACTTTTATTTAGATCCCAGTGAAATCTATACTTGAAAAAATTCTGCAAAGGGTTTTCCAGGGAGCAATGAGCAAGGAAAGGATCCAATACTCTAGGTATCTATCTCACCATGGCCAGCTGAATCAGCCTACAATGGATTGAAATCTCAGTAACACAAAACTCCTTGCATTGTCACCTTTCCATCCTATATTACACAGAAGGCCAATCAAAATATATGAATCTATGATTCTAGCTGTCTTAAAGATTTAGTTAAACATTTTGGAATAGTTTAAAAAACCTCCCTTGGCATCTTGAGACTCACTTTCTTTTTCTTTCTCTTGAGCAAAATAACTTGGCCCTTAAAATAGGGGAATTTCTAAGCCACAACTTAGAGGCATTGAAGAATTTTTCAACGTAGTTCTTCAGTCATATATGCCAGTTCATAGAAAGTTTTCTTGTGAACTGGCCAGTTTTGATAAAGAAAAATAAGCCTTTTTTCTGGAACAGTTTCTATGTCTGAGAGATGCTGTAGACAGGAAACAGACCAATACAGAGACCAGAAAAGATCAATGATCCAGAAAATTGTGTGGGCTGCAGGGAAACTTAAAATTCTGTTTTTAAATCAAGCAGTAATTCATTACAAAGAATTTCCCTAACATTTAGAGGCATGAAATTCCTTATTTTTCTTCTGTGTTGATTCAATATTCTATACATACTCAGCTCCAAAAGAGCAGTTCACTGGTTAGCGCAGTCAACTGGGAGGATTCAAGGTCAACTCACTGCTGTGGCCAGTTTGGACCAGAACTTTGAACCAGTATCTCCTACATTCCCAGTGAAGGAGGCAGGAGCTATTATCCCAGTCCGAGATGAAGCACCCTCTATTTGCAAAAATCCCTTCAAACATTCATACTACAACAAAACACTAGTGCTCCCAAAACACTAATACTATCTTACATACTACGAAAACTGCTCACTGCTGACCCTTCCCTGTAAATCAACAGTCCTGAACTACATATAATCCAGAAATGAGTGTAAAATATTGCAAGCTGAGTCCATCTGAAACTGCAAGGACCAGAGGGCTGCATTCAGAGGGATTAGATCTGAGAGGTATTTACACAACGGGAGAAGTTTACTGGTTCAGAAATCTAGAGCAATATTCTTGAGAGAACTGATGGACAAGTATGAGAAGTATCACAAAGTCTACTTTTTCTCTTAAGATCTCAGTGATCGTACCTTTACTAAACTTCATAAGAACAGGGTTCCTGTTTTTCTGTGCATGCAAAAATGATCCAGAAATAGCATAGATTCTACTAGGTCATGTAAAGTCTACATGCTGATATGTAGAGCTAAGTATGGTTCTCCTTCAATTTTGGCTTTGTTCCTACCTCACTATTTCTGGAACCAAATCTACAACCTTCCTTGCCTCTGTCCCAAAATACACATAGGCTAACTCAGGTCAGCTGAAACAGACCTGCACTGCTACACAAGCTTTCAGTCTTGCATGCTAGCATAATATAAATAATAAATTCATTACTAATTGAAATAAAATCTCAATTCTACATTTAATTTTTTTTTACTGAAAAGCAATTATTTTACCAACAAAATGGGGGGTTTAATTTTGAAATCACTTGAGTGGACACAGAAGATTGATTTCATTCTGGGTTTAAAAAAAACAACCCTGGAAGATTTCTGTGGGTACTTTTTTCATCAAAATCCCTTCAATCTCTTTCTCCTCTAAATTATTTCTAAGAGGAAACTAGCATTTTTCCATCACCTCTCCTGCAGATCCCACAAGAATGCCTGTCTCTGCAGTGATATGCCAACCGCAGAACTCTCTGAACTGGAATGCCTGCGTCTGCATGTGCCATTACGTGGTTAGAGGCAATGTATGCTTGCACTGAGAATACTGGGGAATTCTGCTCACATTAGCGAACCACAGGGTTTCCTGAAGTAATTAAATAGCAGAAAGATCGCTTCTTCCCAAAACGAAGGTAACTGAACATTGAAACATCAGGCAGTTGTGTAAAATAGCTAAATGGACACAAAGTTGAAATCCAGCCTTCCAAGAAATCCACCTCAACAAACCTAGCCCATATGCCAAAAATCACGTGTGTGGTTTTGGGAGGCATGCGGATCACGAAGGTGGCCTGCTTATGATCACTGATATGGTCTGGCACAAATAATCACCTTGTGACTCCACTTAAGGCAGGATCAGAGCACGTTAGCAGGCCTTGAGAGGGGAGAGAGCATGCACCTCTCTTTGGCAAACCTTAAACTCTAAGCCCCGGTATGTTCTGTCAGCTGTGCTATCCAACCAGTAACAGTCACCAGTGCCAAATCCATTTCTTTGATTTCGTTATCATTCCAAACAGAATTAAATACATCTCAGTATTTAACAACCCTTGGGCTGAGTCAGTTCTCATTTGGACAACAGGGCTCATTTTATTCCAGGTGAGTAATAAAGATATGACAAAGAGGAGTGCTAGAGAACAGCCACCAGGACAGTCTTGTACCTACAGTCTCTCATTGAAACACCAAGCATCCTGAAATTACCATAGATTAAATAAAAACTTTCCTTTTCTGTCAAAAAGAGAACAGAATCCAGTTCCCCAGCCACTAGAATCATTAATCAATGAAGCAAACATGACATAAAATAATTGAATAATTACCTTCTAAGGTATTGCCCAAAGCCCTGCATCTCTTGATTGCTCTGTTCATTCAGATGTACGAGGGAATTAAAGTTAAAGGCATGGATTTTTTTCTTTTTCTTGTTTTTCTAAAGAGCTGTTTGTAAATGTTCCAATTGCATTTAAGCAAACAGCCATAAAAGCATATCTGCTCTGGAGTTCAAGAGCCAGATTTCCAAAGGAATTCAATGACTGAAGATACAAACAGTCTTTACACCATTTTCAAAAACACTGTAGGAGGTTAGCCATCTATTCTTGCAGTAGTGTTAGCATGGCCCCTCCAGGGAAAAATACTATGCAAGGAAATTAAAGTCATAAAGCCTGGAACACGTTTATCCATGCCACGCAATCTCCTGAGCATAGTGTTTTTACCGAATAAGAACAAACGAATGGCTACTCCAAGTCAGTTCAGAGGTGCATCTAAACAACTTTCCTGCATCTTAGTAACAGAAGCTTAAGGAAAGAGTATAAGAAACATGCTACGTATGGAGTGCTTCTTGATCTTCATATATCTTCTCAACAACCAGTGGCTTAGGTACTTCCTTGAAGCCCCTTCCTCCTCCTCATTGTCACATCCTCATGTTTTCCTATCAAGTCACAGCTGTCTCTAATCACTTGCTCAGCAAAAGGTACAAAAACCTTTGCACAATACACATAAAAGCAATGCATTCATGTAGCACTGTATCGGGAATCACAGAGAGGAAACATGTAGTTACATACTCTTTCTGCCCTTTCTGTTGTGTATTGAGGAATACCAGGATGCATCAGCTGCAAAAGACCTGTCAGTAAAGTAGGGTCAATGCTATTTAGGGTCACAGAGTTTAAAATGACTAGGAGTACATGAAATCAAATACATTGCTTTCACAATTTTTGCTAAGGAAATAGATATGTGTTATCATGGTAAGTGAGAGCAATACAGGTCCACCTCTCTGTGCCACTCAAGACCTTTCCTGCAATGATTGTTTGTTTGGTTGTTGTTGAAATCTCATCTTTCTTTGAAACAGTCACACAGGCATCTCATTAATCACAAATTAAGAACACATGACAGACTGCTTCATTCTCTCCAGCTGCTCAATGACCAAAGGAAACTAAATCTACTTCACCTAGTCTTTAGTGGTAGGGGCTCTAGTCTCAAGTTTGGTCACATCTGAACTGTTACAAATACTGGATCAAATTTCTTCTGCTTGAGTGAAACCATTGCAATTGCTAGAAAGAAAGCCTTGGGGTCACAACTTTGCTTTGGAGGACACAGGACACATTCCTTTTTTGCCAGTAGACTCCACCCACCCTCCCTCCCTTACTCCACTGGAGCAAAAGCCCCATGCAGGAGATGTTTCTTCAGCGTGTACTTCTTGGGTTTATAACAGTGTCCCAAATGCTGCAAGGAAAGAACATCAGATATTAAGGAGAAGTGGGGAATGGCAGGTTTTTGTCTCGTACATGGTCACGGGCACTGAGATTGCTCGTTGTCCTTGCTTTCTGTGATGAAAGCTGCCATCTGTCCCGGCCCATTGCCAGCCTGAGAAGCTGGCATCCCTTAGCTGATGATAGCACCTGGAAGCCAGTTCTAATAGGATTGTGCTCATACCTCTTGCACACCCAGACGTCTCTGTCTTACTCCAGGCTCCTCTCAAACAGGAAATGCTGCCAAAAATTAATATGAGCCCTTAAATTTCCCCTTAGGTCAGTTCACTAAGTTCATGCCCTTCCCACTGCTCCCATGACTCTCTCAGGAATAACCACAGCAAAGTCTGCCTCCTCCTTTCCCTGCTGCATCATTCTACAGAAAGCAACTAACTGCTAGAGGATTAGCTGCGCTTGCTTGAGATGGTAGTCAGGACCCTGGGGTTTTTGTCAGGAGCTCTGCAGCTACAGCCTTACAA